CCCACGGCCCACGTCAGCGCGGCCCCCAGCGCGGCGGCAAGCCCCAGCGCCAGCCACCCCGGCCCGCCAGCGGGAAGGCGCTCGTCGAAGGACTCGGTGAGGCTGGTCGCCGGCCCGCTGCACGTCAGCGCGCAGGCCTGCGACGGGCACGGCGGGCAGGCTGGGCAGGCGGGCCCTCGCAGCAGCCAGAGCTCGGCGAGGCGCGCGCCGACTCCGACCAAATCCACGAGAGCGGGCATGCGCGAACGTGGTTCCTGCCGAAAAACTTGAGCACAAGTATTCAGACGGTCGTGCTTAAAAGAGGCGAGGCACAATTAACTTCAAAGAACGACATAAATATATATATATATATATATATATATATATATATATGTCGGCGGTGCCCGGTGCGGAGCGAACCCCCCCCCGGTAATCTCTCCTGGGGAGTTTCGAGATTCCCGGTGCGAGCCTGCACGAACCCCCCCGGTAAACACGACCTCCTCTGGTAGGCTGCACGAAACCCCCCGGTAAGGACGCAACCCCTCCGTAAGCGGCGCGCCCCCAGCACGCGCGAAACCCAGCCCCGACGCGCGAATCTTACCAGGACGGGCCGGAACACGGCGGCGGCATTGCATCCCAGGGCCGTGCCAGAACACGGCGGCACTGTTCTTCTCTACGCGGCCGTGCCGTCGACCCCCCACAGCGGCTCTCGGGAGTTGCGCCGCAGCCTCTCGTATTGTGACCACGAGCCACAATACGAGAGGCTGCGGCGGAACAAAGGCGAGCAGACGCGAATAGAGAACACAAGGCGAGCACACGCCACACTTCGACAGGGAGCCACCCTTCCCAACCGCCCCCCTGCCCCCCCCCCAACCCACCCCCCACTCCCACCCCCCCACTCCCACAGGGGGGGGGGGAGCCCAGGTAGACGCAGTGCGGCCTGCACGAACCCCCCCGGTAAAGCGGCAAGGGGGGGGTGTTCTAAGCCGCTGGCGGCACCCGGTGCGGGCTGCACGAAACCCCCCGGTAGTGCACGAAACCCCCCGGTAGTGCTGGGGGGGGGGGTCGTGCCACGGCGCACCGCCGACATATATATATATATATATATATACATATATATATACACATACATACATACATACATACATACATACATACATACATACATACATACATACATACATACATACATACATACATATATATATATATATATATATATATGGTACCCCCCCCCCTTGGGGACCTACCTCACTATCGTCGCATTCCTTCTTTGCTTCTCCTTTGTCGCCCATGCATGCGAAGACGTAGACGCAAAAGGAAGTTCATGAGGAGGAGGCGGAGGAGGAGGAGGAGGAGGAGGAGGATGGGGAGAAGAAGCGTGAGAGGACTCGGCTCTCGCCTGAAGGGTCCCCAAAAAACGCGAAGAGGAAGAGGCTCCCGCCTGAGAGGTCCCAAAAAAAACGTGAAGAGGAAGAGGCTACCGCCTGAGAGGTCCAAAAAAAACGCGAAGAGGAAGAGGCTCCCGCCTGAGAGGTCCCAAAAAGACGTGAGGAGGAAGAGGCTCCCGCCTGGGAGGTTCCAAAAAAATGCGAAGAGAAAGAGGCTCCCGCCTGAGAGGTCCCAAAGAAACGTGAGGAGGAAGAGGCTCCCGCCTGAGAGGTCCCAAAAAAACAGAGTCAAATGGAGGTTCCCGCCTGAGAGGTCCCCAAAAAACTCTCTTGGGAGGAGGCTTCCGCCTGAGAGGTCCCAAAAAAAAACCAAACAGGAGGAGGCTCCCGCCTGAAAGGTCAAAAAAACCCAAAGAAACCCAAACACCATGCCTCTCATCCTTGTAACTGTCCCAAAAAACAAAACAAAAAAACAAAAAAAAAAGTTCCAGAGGAGAACGGACGTCGCTGCCCCAGATGCATTGACGAGGGCCGCCATCTCCTCTGGAACCTTGGGTTTTTTAAGTTTTTTTGGACAGTTACAGGGAGGAGAGGCATGGTGTTTGGGTTTCTGTGGGTTTTTTGGGGACCTCTCAGGCGGGAGCCTCCTCTTGTTTGTTGTTTTTTGGGGACCTCTCAGGCGGTAGCCTCCTCCCAAGAGAGTTTTTTTTTGGGACCTCTCAGGCGGGAGCATCTTCCTCGGCGCGTTTTTTGGGACCTCTCAGGCGGTAGCCTCTTCCTCCTCACGTTGTTTTTGGACCTCTCAGGCGGGAGCCTCTTCCTCCTCGCGTTTTTTGGGGACCTCTCAGGCGGGAGCCTGTTCATCCTGACGTTTGTTGGGGACCTCTCAGGCGGGAGCCTCTTCCTCCTCACATGTTTTGGGGACCTCTCATGCAAGACCCTCATGGACATGGCGAAGACGAGGATGACGAACATTATGGTGATGATGACGGAGAAGATGAATATGAAGATGGTACTGCTGATGATGCTGATGTTGCTGATGACTATGGTGATGCTGATTGTGTTGATGATGATACTGATGCTGATGTTGGTGATGGTGATGATGCCGATGGTGATGATGATGAGGATTACGAACATGATGATGATTATGCTGATTATGATGATGATGATGTTGACGATGATGATGATGATGATGAGGGTTACGATCATTATGTGAAGGAGGAGGAGCAGCAGCAGCAGGAGGAGGAGGAGGAGGAGGAGAGAGAGGGAGGAGGAGTCAGGAGTCAGGAGTCCCAGGACGAAGTCCAGTCGAGAGGATGGAGGAGGACAAGGAGGAGCAGTTTGTTATTTTTTGTTGGACCTTTCAGGCGAAGTTGCCCCTTCAGAGACTGTGATTACGTCGGGGGCGTTGGTTAAGGAATGTGCTCAGGAGGCATCAAACCTTGGGGGATTCCTCATCCGATGAGGGCGGTGGCGACATCCACGGCCCATCCACAATTGGAGCTCCGCCGGCTTCCAAACCTTGGATTTCTTATCCAATGCTTCCTTATCCAATGCCCTCGCCGTAGTAACCTCTCTGGCGGGAGCCTCCTCATCAGAGAGTTGTTTGGGGAATCTCTCAGGCGGGAGCCTCCTCTTCAGTTATTGTTGGGATATATCAGGCGGGAGTCTCCTCTTTAGTTATTGTATGGGAGTGACGACCAGGAGGCGGAGGAGGAGGAGAAGGAGGAGGAGGAGCAGGAGGAGAAGGAGGAGGAGGATCCCCCCACCCCCGCCCGCCACCGCCCACAGGCAGGCCACCCGCGCGCGGGCTGATGGAGGAAAGGCTACGACAGGAGGATAACCAGCAGGGCGCACTACTTTGGAGTGTAATACTCAAATAGATCAGAGCGCAATGCTCTTCAAACGGGTGTAATACCCAGGGCGCAGTCAAAGGCGCAATGCCTGTTTAGGATGCGGATGATAGGGGAGGAGCCACAGCAGGGCACAATGCCCTTGCTCTTAGCAGCAGGGGAGAAGAGCGCAAGGCTCTAGGAGGATGAGTGTAATACTCTAAAACGCTGGGCGTAATGCTCTTCACAGGGCGCAATGCCCAGGGGTGCGATTAAGGCGCAACGCCTGCTTTCTTCAGCGCAATGCTGATTTTCTTTGGGCGTAATGCTCTTCACGTGGGCGGAATGCCTAATGTACCCATTGAGGCGCAACGCCTGCTTCGAGCGCAATGCTCAACGGGTAGTAGCATACTTTTCTTTCCCCTGATCCACAATATCAGTTTCTTCTTTGCTATCCCCCCCGCCCCTCTCTCATCGTCGCGTCGGGTCCGATGCGCCCCCCCCCGCCCGCGAGATCTTTGATTCGTTCGGCCAAACGAGACAGAGGGCACGCCCGTCCATCTTGGCCGCCAGGGTTTCTCAATCAGCGCACGCGCACAAACGCGCGCACGCACGCGCACGAACGCACTTTTTCCTTCGGCGGCCAGAAGGACACTCCGTAACGAAGCAGTGCGGACACCGCACACAACAAATGGTCGAGTCGCGTGTGTCATACGTAGTTGACCGTGCGATCTCATTAACGATTTCGGTATGTCATTTGTTTCCTTCGGCAAAGCGACCAAGATCGCAGCCCGCCCGCGCATGTGCACCGCGGACACACACACACACACACGCACTCATGCACACACGCACACGCACACACACACACACACACACACACACACACACACTCACACACACACACACACACACACACACACACACACACGCGCATACACACACACACACACACACACACACACACACGCACATGTACACGCACACACAAGCACAATACATATGTATAAGTAATTGTTGGTTGGGACACATAACGATGGCTCCACAGCGTTTCACCTGCCCCGCGAAACCTTGGATTTCTTTTGCAAAAACATGCGCGGGGAAAGCCCGCGCGGCCATCAGGGCCGCCAGGCGCCCATAACCGGCACCTCACAACGCATGCGTAAGCTGCAGTTGATTTAAACATCATCACGTTGGCTCAAATGTGCTCCTTTTGCGCCGCGAGACCTTGGATTCCTTCGTCCAAACATGCAAGGTGACAGCCCGCGCATGCATATGGGGTGCCAAATCCCCACAGGTAACGCACAACAGTACATGTCTTAGCAGTAGTCGACTGAAAAGCACGTTGGCTTCAATGAGCTTATCCTGCCCCGCGAGACCTTGGATTCCTCTGGACAAAAGGACCGCGAGAACACCCCGCGCGTGCATCTGGACCGCCAGGAATCCACAAGCACCACCAAGCAACGCATGCATAATCCTGTTCGGCTGCCATCGGGATCTCAGCAGCGGCGGGTTTACGGTGCGACAACCAGAAACAAACAAAAACGGTCGGTCCCTAAGTGGGGGGGTAGCATATATATATATATATATATATATATATATATATATATATATGTATATACATATATATATAAACATACATACATCGCTTTCTCCTCTCTCGCTCCGCCCTCGGCGCGGCAGCGGGCGGGTCGAGGCCCGCCCACCGTCGCGCGGCCAAGTCCCGCGGGGGCAAGGGGGCGCCCCCCGCGCCCTTCCCGCGCGCCCGCGGGGGGGCGCCCCGCAGAGCAAGCCCCCCGACCGCGAGGAAGCCGAAGGCGATGACGCGCCAGGGGGGCACCAGCGAGCCGCCGAAGTTCCCCGCGAGGGCCCAGCGCTCCACGCCAAGCCGAGGGCGGGGCCCGCCCTGCCCCGCGGCCAGCAGCGCCCCGCCTGCCGCCGCGCGGCCCGCCCCCTAGAGCTCTCGCCCGACGCCGACCCGGCCCGCCGACTTAGCGGTGCACCCGCGGCGTCGAGGTCGAACTGGCTGAACAGCATGCGCGCGCCCGCCAGGAACAGCGCCAGCTCGAGGCGCTCCGTTGCGGGGAGGGGAAGGGCCACCAGCCGCTCGGCGAAATCCGCGAAGCCCACCTCCGCGGCTGCGACCCCGAGCCGCTTGCCCCAAGTCCTGGTCGCCCCAAGAAGCTCGGGCCCTGCGAGCGGCTCCAGCCCGGCAATCTCCTCCTCGTAGCTCTCCGCGCCTGGCGGCCGGCTTGGCTGCGCCACCTCCGCGCCAGCAGCAGCAGGGGGCGCGGCCGCGAGCGCCGCCGTCGAGGGCGCAGGGCGCGCCGCGGCGCTGGGCGCGGAGCCCCCTGGGCTGTCGTCCTCGAGGCCGTCGTTCCCGCCCTCGTCCATCGCGTCCGCCGCCTCTAGCTTGCCGCCAGTGGGCGTGGCCAATCCCGCGCCCTCTACGTGCGCCCCACGGGCTCGGCGACGCCGAACGCGCCGCCACCTCCGCCTGGTCGGCGACGGCGCAGGCGCCGCGGGAACAGCAGGCGGAGCCGCGCGACCTCCACCGCCACGATCATCACCAGCCTCGGAGGCCACGCCGAGGACCGCCACCGCAGCCCTGACCAGCCCCTCCGCCGCTCTCAGGAGGCGGAGGGCCTCTCGGCTCTCGCCTGCATTGAGGCCCGCTGCAGCGTGGGCCGCCACGAGGGAGCCGCGCGCAGCCTCGAGGGCGGCGCGGCGGGTCGTCGCACGCAACGGCATGGGGCGCAGCGAGAGGCGGGGCCCCCAGCGGTGCGAACCGAAGCCAAAGCGGCTCTCTCCCTCTCTCTCTCTCTCTCTCTCTCTCCTCTCCTCTCCTCCTCCCTCCCTCCCTCCCTCTCTCTCTCTCTCTCTCTCTCTCTCTCTCTCTCTCTCTCTCTCTCTCTCTCTCTCTCTCCCTCTCTCTCTAGTCTCGGCTCGAGAGTGCCCTGCACTCAGACCGCAGCCGCGACGCGAAGCGCCCCGCCTCGGAGTCAGACTCCCAGGCCTCGCGAGACCGGAGGGGCCCCAGCAGGACCCCACTGATTCGCGTCACCTCTCCGCACCAGAGTGCCCGCAGCAATGGCCCCCAAGAAGCCGGAGCGCCGTCGCTCTTCTAAGCAGCCTCCGAGCTCCCGTCCCACGCGCCCTGCTGCTGAAGGGTCCCTCCTTCAACGCAAGCAGGACTGCATCGCAGCGTTCAGGCAAGCGGGGTCTGACCGCCCCACGGCCGCCTACAATGGGCTAGCCGAACTGGACGCGGACGAGCTCCAGGCAATGTACGACATGCACAAGTCCAACACGAAGAAGCTTGGCAGCGCCCTTATCCGCATGTGCGCCGCCAACCAGATTAGCTACACGCTCGACCACCACCAGCGCAGCAAGCCTAAGCGCACTGGCGGTGACACATCGCATCCACCAGCGGGCTCCGCACGTCTTCAGGCTGCGGACACCCAATTCATCGCCTTGGACCCTGCCTTTTGGAAGGTCCCTGTCCTTGCCGAACCCACCTCGCCTGACGACGGCAAGACGTACAAGCCCAGCATCAGCCTCCACGACTACGAGAGTGGTGAACGGCTGCTGCAGCACCACCTCGAGCAGGGCAAGCGAGCCACGGGTCAGCTCGCGATTGCTGTCATGGGCCCGAAAAACGACAACTACGTCGGTACCGAGCTCGCCGTCCCCGTCCTGAAGCGCCACCCCAAGGCGCCCAAAGTGGTCCACACGCACGTCCCCGTGATCGTGTACCAGCTGGGCACCAAGGAGGTCGCCTGCACGGAAAAGGTAGCCGTCGCCACCATCGACCCTGCCGACCACGTCTGCTGGATTCGGGCGACCATACACGAGACCGAGGCCATTGCCGCAGTCCCCTCCATGCACCAGGCCTTCGAGGACCAGTTCTCGGGAGGTGCCCCCGTGAACGGTGGTCCACGCGCCAAGGGCCCTTTTCGAGGCGACTCCGCTCCACAGGACAAGGCGCGCCAAAAACACAAGGAGTCCAAGAAAGACGCTCGCCGCCAGGAGCTCGATAGCCAGCTCCAGGACACCTTCAAGGCCCTCTTCCACGGCAACTTTAAAGCCGTCACCATCCTCGAACCCTGCAAAAGCCTAGGCAGGTTTGGATCGGGCGTCGGAAAGAGGTCCCTGGCTGCCACCTTCGGCGTCAGTCTCCAAGCGGTCGACAAGGTCCTGGCGGGATCAGGGCAACTCGGTGCCACCTACGACCTCAGCAACGTAGGTGCAGACGAGCCCACCGCCGACAAGTATCAGACCGTTTGGTTCCCTGAGGACCAGCCCATCACGATGGCAGACGCGTTCCAGAAGTCGGTGGAGTTCAAGGCCCTGGGAGTCGTCAGGCACGGCAAGTCAGGCCTACTGGGGATCCGTGTTCCGCGGGGGTCCGACGTCGCCAAGGCCGCTGCTGTCAGCATCCGCGGCTGCGAGGCTACCCTCGCCAAGACGCGCTACCGCATCACTGGCATTGCGGCACGCCACGCCACGCTGACCCAGCTCGCCAAGACTCTCACGGGCCCGTCCGTTAAATGGGACTGTGAGGTCTACCACACCGCCTGGGACCCAGCCACTGCGGCCCAGTTTGCCTTAGTGCGCGCTCATCGGCCCCCACTCACCTATACGGTGCAGGTCGCGGGGTGCCCCATCCCGTGGAGCATCACCGAGGCCCCGCTGGCTGAGGTGGCGCCGAAGCGGGACAACGTTACCATCGTCACGCCTACCACCATCACAGAGCCTGTGACGCCGCCAGCCGGTGGTGGCGGCTTTAGCCCCGCCACCGGCACACTCCTCACCAAAGCGGCCCAGAGCCCCTACCTCCACGACCTCATGACTGCCACGCCCAAAGGCAAGGGCGTCGCACCGCTCCTGACCCCCAAGGAGGAGCCTTCAGCCAAGCGCCACCGCTCCTCCAGCGGGAAACGTGACGCCACGCCGCACGCAAGGCCACCCCGCGCCCCAGGCCGCAGCTCCTCTGCGCCCCCGCACGGCACGGACGGAGCCGCTGAACCGACGGCCGCCCCAGGACCAGGTGGCCACGACCCCTGGCTTGGCACGGCGGCGGCAGAAGGTGGGGGCCACACCGAAGGCGACGCTGCCACAGCCGCCGAAGTACCAGGTGACGTCGTCGACGTCGAGATCCTCTCATCAGGTGATGAATACAGCGTGGCCTCCCACGAACTCAACACCTTCGGCGAGCGCTTCGCATCGGCCTCTAAACCGCCCGATGCTGCCACGACCCGCATCCAGCACATGGAACAGCAGCACGAGCTGCTAGCCAACACGGTGGATAACATGCAGGTGCAGCTTGCGGGCGTTCTCTCCTCCCAGGCCACACTCACGGAGCACGTTTCAGGGCTGGAACGGGGGCTTGCCACCGTCGTCACCCAGCAACAGACGGCAACCGCCGACGCCGCTGCACTGCGCGGCGACATCCAGACCCTCCTCGGGCACCTCACGGGAGGCACCATCCACCTGCCACAAGCGGCCACTCTGGAAACTAAGAAGGAGGAAGCCGCAGCGGCCGCCGAGCCCGCGGCAGCCTGCAGTTTGACCGACCAGCCAGGCCAGGCCACCCCAGGGACGGGGCCCCCAGGGGCCGACAAAGGCAAGGACAAGGGTCGGGCCACCCAGGAACCCTATTGAAGGTGCCTCAGAGAGCCCGCCTCAGCCCTCCGAGGAAGCGCCTTCAGAGGCATCGCTCCCCTCTTCGCGTCGTATCTCTTTCTTGTTACCTCATGTCTGTTTTGGCAGCAGCACGCGCAAGCTATCTGGTGTAGGGACACCCGTAGTCTTGCAGGGGGCGTGATTGTAGCAATGTACATGAGCATTCAGGGGTATTTGAGGACGTGTGCTGCCACGCAGCTTTCGGCTCATCGCTCGCGCCGCCCGCCAGGCCTCGCCATCATGCGGCGCCTTGCCTGCGGCCTGGCCCTCCCCTCGCTGGCTGGAGCACACCCGTCTTCAGGCGGTGCGCCCCAGCACGGAGGAGAGGCTTTCCTGCGACATGCGGAGCGTGGGACGCTCTTCTACCTTTACGATGACAGCATCTACAAATACGATCACAGCGCCATTTTGGACCCGATCGTGAACAGCACCGCCGCCGCTGGTCCGTGCGGCACCGGGCCGCTGGGCGCCCCCGCGAGCGCCTGGCCTGAGCAGCATCAGGGGCCCCGCCCCACGCGCTGCCCCCCTGGGACTTCGACGGCTACTACGACGTCTACGACGAGTACCAGCAGGTCTCCTACAAGCACGCCCTCGTCAACTACGACACATGCATCGCAGTCGACCACCGAGGTGGCCGCAGCTGAGATGACTCCTGCGTCCTCCAGCCACGCCTCGCACCGCATGCAAGTTCAGCTACGAGGACTACCATCACTCAACATGACGCTTGCGGTCGACTGTCGTACAGCATATCCTCGATGGTACCCTGTTATCAGCTTGTCCTCGACCGTCGTGCAGCATATCCTCGACAGGGCCGCTGGCAAGGCCCAGGCACGCAGTGGCGGCTTCAGCCCCGCTGTCGTGCCCCGCTTCAGCCCCATGAGTCCCACTACCCCTCTGTGCGCCAGGGGCGAACCCGAGGAGGACCCCGCTTTCTGGCACCTGATGAACATCCGAGCACGGCTCATACCGTGCGCCGCGGCGTGGGCACCAGGTGAGGACCATCAGGACGTGTACTGGGCATGGCTCGAGGACTGCGTCCCGCACGTCCTGGCGACGCTCCATCTGCCACAGTACGACCACTTTTTCCAGGAGGACTCCGCGGAGAAAAACGACGCCCTGCGCCACCGCACCGCGTTCGACATGTGCGAGGATATCTGGCACAGAGCGGGCCCCGACAGACAGCGCACCAACCGCAACCTCACTCGTATCCAGGGCAGCCACGAGTACCCCACCCGCTACTTTGGCCTCCTTCTGGAATACCAGGGCGCTCGTGCCCAGCTCGTCGGCCCTGAGGCTGTCGCGGCACCACTGCCGCCATACCTCTCACGGGCCCACGCCTTGCTGCCAAGAGGCCTCCCTCCGCCCGACCAAGACGCCCTGGCGTATCTCGCGGATGCGATCCTGCACCACCCGCCAGACCTGCAGCCGCTTGTCGAGGCGGAGCTCGCCGCGGCACCGATGGAACCGCTAAACCTACCACCGCCAGCTGGCCCCCTCGCCCAGAACGCCACGTGTGACCAGCCCGCGGCCGACGCCGAACCGCTTCTGCTCCAGCACACCGCTGCCAGCGATATCAGCAACATATCCCTGGACTCGTTCCACGTGTCGGACGATAGCCAGAACGACTCCATCCACGACACGGAAACCCAGGACCTCGACGGCACGACACCGCCAGGTGACACGGCCCAGCGCGACCGTGACAGCGAACCCTACACAGGGCGCCCCCTGTCGCACAGCAGTGCGCCCATCAACTCGGCCCAGGCCGACCCCAGCGCACAGCTCAGCGACGCCGAAGGCGCCACCGCCGCCGACGAGACAAGCCATTCCACTGCACTGCCAGCTCTCACCAGCCCGCGCAGTGGCGGCTTCAGCCCCGCTGCAGCATTGGCTGGATCTGGGCGTCTTCAGACCTCAGGTGGCAGGACCCCGCCCCGCACCCTTGTCTGCCGAGCTAACGCGACTGACTCCAACTCCAGCGCCGTCGACCACTGGCAGGCTGGCATCGACAATGATCCCATCGAGGACGC